TTTTCTAGCATCCTCATTTATATTGGAATCTCTTAATTGGCTTTAGACCTATCAGTAGCAGTGTACTCTTTTAATTAGCTCCAAGTACTTCCCCTGTGACTTCTAATAACTGAAACCCTTTCTTAATTGATTTAGTGGATTAGAGTAGAGTTTAAATTGTAAATCTGAGGGCTGTTTTTCTCCAATACTGTGTATACTATCTCAGTTTTTCTTCCTGATTTTTAATTGAACTCCTCGGGAGCTCTCCAAGACCAGTTCAGAGAAGTTCATGGATTAGCTTTGGCAGAAGCTGTTTGGGTGGAAGAATCTCATAAACAAACCCTTTTTTAGTCCCATTGGCATGAAATCATGTAGGCACCACAGGAACAATGACAAACCTTGGGTATTTTGTATCTAACACCTCACAACAGGACTGTCGCCTGCAGGGGACACTAAGTGAGGTACTGGATTTGAGGAAATTTATCACTTTTAAGAAACAAAGAGACCCTTTAGTGGTTGCAAAAACTCATTTAAGTGATCCCTCCCAACCTCTCTACTTGAGAGAGAGAGAGAGAGAGAGAGAGAGACAGACTAGGAGGTTGAGAGGCTCAAGGACTCTTTTTGTCAAGAAATTTCTATCTCACCTGGTTCACTTTAGGGTCAGGGCATATCTCTGGAGAGGATGTTCCCTCAGGAAGGCATGAGGTGTGTCACGCAAGTTACATACAACATGTTATTTCATGTAATTGTCATAACACCCTATGAGGAAGGCAGTATTGTCCATATTGTACCTTTGAGGAAAATAAAAGCTCAGAAAGGTCACACCACCCAGTTCAGTAAAGTGACTAAAGAACTATACAGGCAAACAAAAAGGTGAACAGTATGAATAATGGGCTGAGATTCAAACCCAGCTCCAACTGATTTCAAAGTATATAGTCTTTCTTCTGCCTGGAGGAGATTTACAAGGCGAGGATTGGGAGCATTTTAGTTAAAATTAATTTTGCTTTATTTTTTAAAACTTTCAAGTACTCTTTGGTATAATTAGCAATTTCCAAGGGTCTCATAACCAAGTCTGGGAATCAGTGATGTAGAGATTAGGCAAACTTATCCGGGAACAGTTACCATAGCCAGACCAGAGATAGCTAAATGGCATAACTTGCACCTCTCAACAATAAATGGAAACAAAACCATCTCCACATAGTGCTAGCACGCTCGTGTGAATTCGAAACTGAAACAACAAAATGCCAGAGAACTTCCAGATGATTGAGTCTGTGATTCTTCTGTTTTTTTGAAAGGCTGGGAAAAGACAATTGGTGAGCTGGGATCTGGATACTTCTTGGGTGGACTTTGTCCAGTTCTACATCCAGATAGGTGGAGAGAGTGCCACGTGCAACAAGCCCGACAGCAGAGAGGAGGGCGTCCTCCTCCAGTACAGCAACAACGGGGGCATCCAGTGGCACCTGCTAGCTGAGATGTACTTCTCAGACTTCAGCAAACCCAGGTAACCACCCACCTGCTGGGCCTTCCAGTGGTTTCCAGGACTGGTAAAGATTAAACTGTTGATGTGTTTCTGAAATGTTAACTGTGGCAAAAATAGACAGACTCGTAAATATTTAACATGAATGATAGCCCAGTGTATAAAGATTTCACTTCATTTAAAGTGACTAGACAGCATTTGTATTCATGTTTGAATCTTTAAAGATTTTGAAAAAAATTGTGACTAGAAGAAAAGCAAGATGAGTGACCACTGTTTACTCAAAGAAACTCTGTAATACAAGGATGTTCCAAGCTCGTTTTTCCACTTGCAGGTTGGTTTATTTGCTTTTACTGCACACACAAAATATGCTTAGCTGTTAGATTTAACAGTAAGATAGATTTTTTTTGTTAAAATTTTTCACATGGCTGCACTCAATGCTGGTCCCAGATAGTGTATGAGTGAGTCTGTGGAGCTCAGATTTTCTGAAATTTTGCACTGGCCCATCCTTGTCTTTATTTTGACAAAAGGGGGATATATGTAATAAAATGTCTTAGGCAATGATTGTTGAAGAGTTTAGGAAAATGATTCATGTTTAATAGTAATACCTGTACCAGGCAATCAATGTATTTAAATATAGTTCTTTTGCAATTATGTAGTATTTTGAAATTCTATGTTTATACTTTATAGCTTATATAACAAGTATCATTAACATCTACTCAAGGA